ACGAGATGTTGTCGCGGTTGTACCCTCCAGAGAACTGTCCCCAGGCAAACCAGAGGTGCTACCGCTGCTGCTGCTGCTGCTGCTGCTACAGCTACTACTTCGACTACTGCTGCTCCTGCTCCTGCCCCTGCTCCTCCTCCTCCTCCTGCTCCTGCCCGTGCCCATGCTCCTGCTACTGCTGCAAGTGCTTCTACTGCTGATGCTGTGCTACTGCTACTGCGAAAGGCCACAGCTGTTGCTACTGCCACTGCTATTGCCAGTACTTCAGATTGCTCCTACTCCTACGACTGCATGAATGTTTCCACATCACAAGGTTATGCTGATTGCGCCAGCCACCGTAACTTTCATTCACTCAGCACGATCACGTTTGCATCCGGCCTTGAAGCTCTGGTTTGGCAGCCGCGCCAAGGTGCCGAATCGCCTCGGGACCTGGCTTTGGGGCTGGGTTGGAGGCTTAAGAGTCCACCGACAAAATACCGTCGACGCGAAGGAAATCGCCGGTACCATCTCGGACATACAGTTTTTTTCAAGAAGGCCACACAAGCTCAGGTCCTTCGTCTGGTTGGGTGTGCAGCCTCATGCCTTTGTTGGCAGTGTAACTGTCTACGTGTGAGTGTACATGTACATAGATGTATATAGTAAAAGACACATGCATAATATGTATTTGTCTAACTATTTGCTGATTAGCATGTGTTTACTCATTTAAATAACGTGTTTCCCTCTGAATATCTGCTAATTAGCTTGCGCTTACTCATTCAAAAAAAAAGATATATTTGCAAACAACCCTCGCATTTTCCCCACTCGCGCCCCACTTGTCCTAGTTGCCCCAGTTGCCCTATTTGGCGCGAATGCCCACACTGCCCTACCCCGCCTTACTTTAAACCCTAAACCCTAAATCTTAAAACCGTAAACACCCTAAAACCCTGAGCCTCAAATTGAACCCGATAAAACCCCGAAGCCCGAACCCCTAAAACCCGAAAAGATCAGAACCGGGAACGTGAAGGCTGGAAAATCCGAAAAGCCCTAAGCTGCTGAAACCCTAAGGCCCTAAAACCCGAAAAGCCCTAAATCCTAACATCCTACAATCCTAACGCCCTTAACCCTAAACCTTCAACTGAATCCTAACACCCTCAATCCCTAAAGCCCAAACGGCCTAAACCCTACGGACAGACAGACAGACAGACAGACAGACAGACAGGCAGGCAGGCAGGCAGGCAGGCAGGCAGGCAGGCAGGCAGACAGACTACACATGCCACATAAGATGTACACGACTACTGCTACGCACAGATCGATAGATACATACATACATACATACATACATACATACATACAGACAGACAGACAGACAGACAGACATACATACATGCGTACATACAGACATACTTCTTCACTCGCCGCAAGAAGATCCCGCGTTGCGATGAGGCAGCATATTGCCGGCATCTTGTGATGCATGCCGAATACTTCGGCACCCGGAAGTCAGAACTCAGAAAACAATGCGTTTGGAACTGCTTGCCTCGGACATTGCAGAAAACAATGGAATGGAATGAACCCCTATTTCAACGGTACGCTACCATACAACAATGTTTGATCCCGTCCTTGAGGCTGGCTCACCCGGCGTTACCGCCCCTATGATGCGACGAGCCATGAGCTTCGCTCTGATTGTTAAAAGGCCCTTTCGGGCAAGAAGCTAACTGGCAGCTGATGCTTCCCGATCTACCACATCTCTACACAGCATGAAAATGAATGCATTGTGCGCAACTGTGTGAGGTCCTCTGGCTGGGCAAGGCTGGGAGTACAGTCATCATCGGTGACATACGTCAGCTTGCCACGCTGAAAAAGCGCAGCCCGGTAATGCCCGTGGTTCTTGGTCTCCTATGTGGTAGATTACAGCTGCAAGCTGATATCGGTGCGAGGTTGTGCGAATGGACAAATCTTTCGAAGAATGGCACATAAACCGCCTCACTAAACCTTACAGGAAACCGAACCTTTTGTCCCAGAGTATCAAACCTGTTGATCTGTACGGGCAGTACAGGTGGCAGCACCACTGCAGCGTGCCGGTCAGCTTGGTTCCTCCATGAAATCAACATTTGCTGCAGACTGATGGGGCTTGCAGACGCTTGCTGCTGCTGCGAAGCTGGCAGTCCTGTATGCTGGAGAAGCAAAGGAAACATCTCTCCGTGATCCATGACCTGGGCATGTGTGGCGTGGACTGATTCTGCTAAGCTACGAGCCTGCCATAACCCAAAACCCGTCTCTAAGGTGAGTACTCCTCCCAGGAATTGTATGAATTCACCAGCATCGTGCTGTTGGTGGGGACGTTCCCTTTGCCAGGCGCGAGTGTGCCACAAATGCACCCTTTGGGGCTTGCGCAAGATCCACTGAAGGATGCGGAGCATTGCACGGTTGGGAATCGGCATGCCTGAGCTGCTTGCTGCTATTGTCCAGAGTAGCCCATGCAATGACGCATTGGCATAGCACCAATTTCTCGGGTTAGCGAATGTTAAGCTAAGCACGGCACTGGCCTCCGTGTTTAGATCTCCTGGAGCAGGCGGCCCAGGTATTCGGATGAGCTGCAACATGAGCTGTACGCACTGCTTGAGGGCCTGATGCTCCAATGGTTGCTGGGGTGCTCTCACGTGCTTCTTCTCCTTGTGGTTCCAGTGCATGTAGAAGTACGTCTCGTCCTGGATGAGCCCCTTCTCCTTTGCCCGTTGGAGGAGGACTTGGTCCGACTCCATGGCTTGGATTTGCGCCATCAAGGCTGTCAAAAAAGCGTGTAGCGACACGCTTCTGAGCGGTTGCGTGATGGCCTCCGGCTCCTCCTCCTTGAGCCTGTTCCACTCGGTTGCGACTGTGAAGAGCCCTTTTTGTCACGCTCCAGTCGTTGTTGCTGGACTCCGTCTGTAAGAAAAGGAAGAATTCCTTGTCCAACAGATCCACTGCTGACTTGTCCTCCAAGCGGAGGGTCAGCCTTCCCATGGCTCGTACCACGCCCTTGAGCTCCTTTGTCTCGCGCCTCAGGGACTTTTCGGTTTCCTCGTCGCGGCCGCTCTTGTCCTTGTCCCGCCGATCCGCTTTGCTGGGCCATTGTTGGTAGCGCGGTCCCCACCAGTTCCCCTGGCCTCCTTCCCGCTGCCTTTGGTCTTGTCAGCGGTCTCGGTCCTGCCGGGAGGTCTCTGCGCCTCCTGTGAGCGGCCCTTGCCTCTCACATTGGGTGGGGCATCTGGTTCGGTGGGTCTCGCCTCCTCCTGCTGCATGCCCTCGTCCGGCTTCTCCGCTTCGGTGCCCTTCTGGTCGCCCTTCCCCTCCGTCTTCAGGTACTTCTGCGGGGCGCCCGGGCTGCCAGCCTCGACGACCCCTCGGCTGGGCTGGGCGTGCCCCTCTTGGCTTGTCCGGCTCGGTCTCCAGGTCCAGTAGGTCCGGCATGTCCCCTTGCGAGGCCGCAGAAGGCACTGTGGAGGCCGGCACCGAGCTTGGCGCTGGCTTCATGTATGCCGAAAATCGGGCGAACTCCTCCGCCGCTTCCTCCAGCTGCTCGGAGTGAAGAAGCACAGACATCCTGAAGGGTGGGCTGTTGATTATCTTGCAGGGATCCGTACTTTGCTATGAGCTGACCACAAGTCCACAGGACTGCGCATGACAAGATGTGAACATGGGGCCTGGTGGCAAAGGCTGTGTGACACCACCGGCAGGGGCTGCTGGTACGAAACTTGTCTGAGAGCCACCGTTGGACAGCCGTCTGTGCAGCATTGAGATGTGGATGCATTTTAAGGGCGTGTCTTGTGATGTACTTGGGGTGCGTGACCCACTGATTGCACTCAGGACAAAAATGGAGCCTGTCGGTTTGTCGGATAGCTGCAGCCAGCTCTTGTACTTTGTTTTCCCGTGCTAATGTCTGAAGCTCTGGTCTGTGAAACAACGGTACAACATCATGGCCATCTGGAGCAGCACATACAGACATACATACATACATACATACATACATACATACATACATATACAAAATATATATAAATATATATACTTATGTATGTATGCATGTATGTTTTATTTGTTTATACATACATATACATATACATATATATACATATATATTTTTATGTGTTTATATTTTTTATACATATACATATATGTGGATACATAAACATATACACATATGTGGATACATATGTACATATAGATGTATACATACATATGAATATGGGTACACACAAACATAGGCATTAACAGAGAGGGAGAGGCAGAGAGTGATAGACAGGAATGGAGAGAAGCCTGTGCCAGTGTGTTTATACAAAAAGCACGCAGCCGGGCGAAAGTTCGGAAGAAACCCTTTGGATAGCGAAACCTCAAGAAGAAGTCAGGCCGACCAAGTACGCTGGCCAAGGATGGTCTTGAATCCAAGGCGAGATTGGGGCTGCCCTTTCCTTCGCCTCTGGGTTTTACTGCGAGGTTTCCATCTTGGAGAGAGCTCATGCCGATGCTCAGGAAGTGGGACAGGAAAACTCGGCCTGCTTCACTCATGTGGAGCCTCTCGCAACCTCAAGTTCAGGAAGTGATGTCCAGGAACGACAGCCATCTGGCGGTGTGGCTTGGGATCCGGGCCATCCCATTGCGAGGCCCCTGAAACGATGCCGGAAACATGGAAGGCAGCTATCACTGCAGCTTTCTTGCAAGGTTGTAGCTTGACACAGCTTGCCGTAGCCATGGGGGAATCCATCCGGACTCTCAAATGTTGTTGTGCGGCTTGAGCCACAAAGCTGTCCGACGCAGGACACGTTTGATTGCAGGAGCGCATGGTATCCAGACTCAGCACAGCTCATCATGAGGCACTCGGCCCTTTTGAAAAGATTCCAGCAAGGCTTGCATCCCATCCGGTATGTTTCAGCGGGACGGCAGAAGATGCTGACTCGGAATTCGCATGTCCTGAGTCGGCGCGTGACTTCGTCGGCTAGGCCGACGGCAAGAAAGGGAAATGCAAACACATGCAGACGAAAAGCCAGTCACTGGAGCAGCTTGCGGACGGGCGAGAACAAAAACGTGGGGTCATTCCTACCAGCCACATGAGGAATCATCCAACTTGCGGAAGAAAGCCGATTTGTGGGCCTGGGAGCATAGAACCAGGTCTTGAACTCATTGACCTGGCAGAGAGCCGGCAGCTTTCCGACTAAAGGGAGCCGGGCCGTCCCGCAAAGGAAGCCAAGTCTGGAACTGAGAGCCTACCGTCTTGGTTGAGGTCAGCAGTCTTAAAGCATTCCAGCGACGTCACCGAAGCGAGGTCCTGCACCAAACGGACCACGGCTGTAGACTGTGGTGGACACAAGGCTTTTGCAGAGGTCAGTCCTCAGCTGACTCAACAGTTACTCCCATGCTGTTCATGGCACCAACGACCACCGGCGTTAGCACCACCTGTCAGTGAGTCGAGATAGAATCACATCGTGGAACTACTGCGAGCATCGCTTTCGACAGGGCATCATGGAATCTGACCGCTCCTCATACTGGCTCTGACTACCCTACCCCCTTTTTGTGGATTTAGTCGTGGGCTTGTCAACCTTGACAGCAAGTCATTCGACAATAAGTCACAAGCGACGCGATGGGTCGTTACGGTCGCAAGTGTTTTAATATGTTGTGGAATACTTCCTGCCTTGAAAACAGACGTGAGAAACTTGTACATCTCATCCAAAGAGATGTAGCCATCGCCATTCTCATCGAAGATGCCAAAGACCGCATGGATCTTGTCATCCTGAAGTAGTAAGCAAGCTCTTTGCCCAAGCATGCGACGTCTCTCATCTTGACGGGTTCCCAGGCGTCCGCCCTTTGCTCCGGCCTCTGATCCGTGACAGAGCAAGGAAATACCACAGATCAATTCCATCATGTCGACCTCAGTTCGGTTCCAGAATGCAGGTGTTCCACTCATCTCACAAGGTCCCAGCAATGTTGTTGTCATCGCGGTCAAACAAATCAAAAACAGCATTTTTCACCTCACGTGCAAAGAAGTTGATGAGAAATGCACCATGGCCGTCCGACAGAAACTGACAGTCGGGTCGAGCACTTCATTGGCCGGAACCTCGATGCCCTTGGCCTTTCGGTGTGTCACCAGAACGCTCACCAGTGCGTGTGGAGTTGCCGAGATCTGCCTGGAGCAATGCCGAGTAGGCCTGGATGAACCTGGCCGTGCACTGTCTTCGGCGGCAAGACCGGCGGCAATACGCGTCGTGCAAGCTCTGCTTCCGAAATTGCAACATGCCAGGTGGGCTGCTCACGTGTGAGACGGCTTTCCACAGCGGCTCTCTTGAAGGCCTGCAAGCCTGTCGAGTCTGCCGGCACAGGTTCAACACTCTCGCTAAGGCATGCTAAGGCACTGTACGCCTTCGTCCACTGGAATTTGCTTGAGCCCACTGGTCTTCCGCAGCTCCTGTCAAGCAAATGGGTGGGAAAGGCGGGAGAGAAACTTACGGTGGACCTTCAGATTTTGCAGCTGCGTATCCTTTTCGTGCTTCACCTGCAACCATCTGCGACCCAGGCCCACAAAGGGGTTGAGGCTCTGGCGTGTCTCTTCTTCGCCGCTCCCGGATCAGGCCTCGTAGGCGCCCTGGGAGTAGGCCGGGCCTCCGATGGTGTTTGGCCTCGAAGCCACGACCTGGCAAAGCCGCTCAGCCGCCAGCGCGCACTGGCAAGTGCACAGGCTCGGCGGCCGCGGCGGCCGCGGTGGCTGCGGTGGCTGCGGCCCGGGCTCGAGGCTGGGCGCTGATGCCTTCCGCTGGTCGGATTCGGGCCCCTGCTGGTAGCCTCAGAGACGCAGGACCCGGGCCCAGCCCCACTTCCAAATTCTTGTGAGGATGGCTAGTCTAAGACAAAGGCGTGCCCATCAAATTCTGCCGAGCACCTGCGCACCGGATCTGGGGACTCGCCACCGACACGCCAAATACAAAATGGCCCATAAGATGATGAAGACGATGAAGACATCGTCGGACAACGTAAAACTGAATCGCGCAACGAAGCAAAATCTACGATCTGCCTACTTCTCAGGTGGACTTCTGATGCAGGTGATGTCAGAGGCTGACTGCTGTCCAAGTGCGCAACCATATCTGTCTTCGCATACGGTGACGATGAAGAGTAGTTCAGGGGTTTCCGCTGGTTTCAGCTAGGAACAAAACAAAAACACTTTCGGACCGCGTTCAACCAGACTTCCATGTGTTCACGCTGCGCTTCGGGTATCCGCCTGAGGCCTGGGATCCCTGTTTGGTTTCGGTGCGCAAAAATCACTGCCGCCTTCCGGGGCCTCATCTTGCTACGAGAAGTCCCGTCGCGAAGCCTAAACCCCAAACCCGAAAAACTCAACAGGAGTCTATACCCTGACGAAGCCAAATGTAGGCACATTAACGATATTCATGCCACTTCATGTGTGCATCAGAGAATATTTTGATGTTTATTCGTACTACTCGATCAAAGTATAAGTCTTACGCAAAACGGATGCTGGAACTTGGCATCGCGCCGGCTGTGACCGGGGCCCCGCTGACCACCACTGTGCGAACGGGAGCTTGCACCGTCTGCGGCGCCCCCTCAATTTGAGGCCCGTCATGAGGGTTTAGGGTTAAACGGTTGAAGACGAAGGCCTGAGCTGTCACCTCGGGCTGCGACCACGGGTCGAAGATTCGCTGCCGGAACAACCTGCAGGAATGCAAGGTGGATGCCCCGAGGCCCAGGAACCCCACAGCTGCACCTGTCTGGCAAAGGGCTGGCCGGCCCTCAAAGTCACCGGTGCCTGCATCTCAGAGCTGTGTTTCGGCACGCAAGACTACCGGATCTAAGCAACCCCAGGCCTGATAGACCACCTGGCATAAATAGTCAGCTCCCACCAGAAGGCCAGAGACATGTAGGCACATTGCCCCCAGACAGACTTCGATCCCCAGGAGGCCTTAGGCTGCTGCAGCACCTCATGGAAAGCGTGCCAGGCAACGGCAGCGTCAGGACGTGAAATCTTTCGAGATCCCTGCCGGTGAGCTTGCATAGGTGTACGCCGTACTTTGCGCCTCTCCACGCTGAATGTGCGAATGGACACAATCTCATGTCAGATATCCGCATGAAAATGGC